AAGCAGGGCATGCTAGTTCTTGTAATATGGTCAATATCTGAACCTTGGCAAGTGATATATGTTTTTTAAAGTCATTTTATTGGGGCTCATACAACTCATCGCAATCCACACATACATCAATTGTGTAAAGCACACTTATCAATTCATTGCCCTCATCATTCTCAAAACTCTCACTTTCTGCTTGGGCTCATAGAATCAGCTCTTCATTTTTCTTCCACCCCCTCCCTCCCTGCTCCCCCCTCCCTCATGAACCCTTGATAATTTATAAATTATTATTTTATCATATCTTACACTGCCCGGCATCGCCCTTCACCCACTTTTCTATTGCCCATCCCCCAGAGAGGAGGTTATATGTGGATCCTTGTAATCGGTTCCCCCTGTCTACCCACTTTTCCCTCTCCCCTCGCAGTATCGCCACCCTCACCACTGGTACTTAGGGGTTCATCTGTCCTGGATGCCTTGTGTTTCCAGTTCCCATCTGCACCGCTGTGCATCCTCTGGTCTATCCAGGCTTGCAAGGTAGAATTGGGATCATGGTAGTGGCAGGGAGGAAGTGTTTAAGAACTAGAGGAAGGTTGTGAGTTTCATCAATGCTACACTGCACCCTGAGTGATTCATCTCCTCCCCACCACCCCTCTGCAAGGGATGTCCAGTTGTCTGCAGATGGGCATTGGGGCCCCATCATGCACTCCCCTCATTCACGATGCTATGATTCTGTTTGTTAGTTTGTCGGTGTTGCTGCCATCATCGCCATGTTCTTATGTGCCACTTTGTTTGGGGCTGTGGAGGCCATCCGCAATTTTATGCACATATTATTATCTATGCAGGTCTATCTAGATAAGGTAGGCTGGATCAACAATGTGAAGAAGAAAATAACAAGACCAACGGTCCCAGGGCGACATGGGAGAGTGGGAGGTGGGGAAAGGGAGGAGGTGTAGGCCAACCCAGGGCCACGTGAACAGGGAGGGGATGGGAAAACTGCTAGGGAGTGACCAAGGGCAATGTAACTGAGAGGAATTACTGAAACCAGAATGAAGGCTGAACATAGTAGTGGGACAGGAGGAAAGCATAAGGAAATAGAGGAAAGGAGTAGGAGGCAAAGGGCATACATAGAGGCCTAAATACAGACATGTACATATGTAAATATATTTATGATTATGGGGTAAATAGTTCAATGTGCATATATTTATAGGTTTAATAGTGGGGTAGCAGGGGGACCTCTTCGCACACATTCCCTTAATACAAGAACACTTTGCTCAGCTAAATGGTCATTCCATGATACCCACCTTCCCAACATGATCTCTGAAGACAAACGTGTGCATAAGCAAACGTGTTGAAGAAAGCTGATGGTGCCCGGCTATCAAAAGATACAGCGTCTGGGGTCTTAAAGGCTTGAAGGTAAACAAGCAGCCATCTAACTTGGAAGCAACAAAGCCCACAGGCAAGAAACACACAAGCCTGTGTTATCACAAGGTGTTGAAGGGATCAGGTAGCAGACACCAAAGAACAAAAACCATCATTGTGTGCTCACCTTCCCCATATAAGCACTGAAGATGAATGTGTGAATAAGTGAGTGTGATGAAGAAGGCTAATGGTGCCCAGCTATCGAGAGATATAGTGTCTGGGGTCTTAAAGGCTTGAAGATAAACAAGCGGCCATCTAGCTCAGAAGCAACAATGCCCACATGGAAGAAGCACACCAGCATGTGTGAACACGAAGGGTAGAGGGGACCAGGTATCAAGCACCAAAGGCGTGGGGGGCGGGGAGTGATATCATATGTTTATTGCTCAGGATCTCTGTCACTTAAATTGTGAACATTATTCTGCTAATGAATGATAAAAGTAGATAATTATCTGACTCAATAAACCAGCAATCCATAGCAAAACAAACCATATCCACATGATCCTGACTTTTTCCCGGCTTCTCCTCTTGATGGAGCTCCTGGTGATCCAAATGCACATCTCCAGCTTTACTGTGCTTCACTTTATTGTGCTTTGCAGATACTAGGTGTTGCTACAAATTGAAAGTTTGTGGTAACCTAACCCTGCTTTAAGTAAAGGGGCATTCATGGCATTGTGGGTTAGGCTGCAATTTCTAACTTTTCATAATTCCATTGCACGCTTAATAGACTGCAGTACAGCGCGAGCATTGCTTTCATATGCACTGTGAAGGAGAGGGGCAGAAGAGTTTAACTCCCTTTACTGAGGTGGTCAGGAGCCCAACTCTCACTATCTCTGAGTCCCTATGCCTGTGATTAATGCACGGATCTGCTAACTGGGAGGTTGGAGGCTTGAATTCCCCCTCAATCACAGATACCATTATCTAACTCAGACTTTCTAATATTTCCACTATGATCTTTGAGATCTAAGATGATTTCAAAGATCAAATAAGGCATTATATTTAAATGGATATAACAATTTGAAGAAAAAACGAAATGTTCCCATTTTATATAAAGAATATCATTTTTATGTAGAATTACACATTGCTCCCAAAATCACTAGGATCAATAAGAGTTCAGTAAGATGGATATCAATGATGTGCTAATACTAGATTTTTCCACCTTGGTGGAAGTTTCTCGCTTCATTGCTTAATAGCTATTTTGAGTACACAACTGAATAAACGGAAAAGTAATAGCTTGACTATTTATCAGAAATGACACATTTAAGAAAATAATATTTTGAAAATAAAAATACCTATTTTAAAATACAAGTAGTAAAAGAAGGATAAGACAAAATCCTCAAAATGTATACAGCACAATCTCACAATAACACTGCATGATAGAATGTGTATGCATGTGTGATGCACATGTCTTTATTATGAAAGAGAGGAATATGCTCTACAGACAGGTGACAGATTAAATATTGTTGCTTCAAGATTTTAGAAATTCTTTTTGTTAAGTGATCTACAAAATCAATGTAAACACCATTACAATTCTAATGGTTATTTAAAAAATAAGTTTAATAAGTAGAGTAGAAAGGATGTGAATAATCAAGAAAATGGTGAAAGGCAAGAGCTTTTGCTTTACCTGGAGAAAGATGAGGCTTTCTACTCCTCTAAAGAATTACAGTCTCGGACACCGAAAAGAGGCAGTTCTACCCTGCCCTATAGGGTCACTGTGAGTCAGCATTGACTCAATATCAGTGTCGGTGAATGCCGTACTGGCTAAAGCTACAACAACTAAAATACAGTGAAACAACAACAACAAAAAACAGTGGAACTACTGTCCAAATTCATAAATATTCTAAATGAATATTAAAGTTTACCACAGATCATGCCTCCTTTAAAATTAATTGGTAAAAGAATGATTAATCATGCTATCAAACCAAATATCAAGATGTCAGAAACTTTTCATACTTGGTCTCAAACATTAATTTTTCTAAATTAAATTCCAGACTTTTAAAGATCTAATGGATAAGAAGAAAAGAAAAAAAAATAGAGTCCTATGTCAGGCTATCTATTCCAGATTGACATTCCTCTTATTTTCCATTCCCAATCTACTTTTAGGTTGGACTGTGCGATTGAATTTTGATAATTACTTGATTCCATTATTCTGCTGCAACAGTGTTTTCAAAAATCAATAATGACAATCTCATTGACAAATCCCACACCCTTTCATCAACACATAAAACCCTGCATCATTTAAGAATTCCTTCTTGGAACGGCTTTCTTCCTCTTGCCACACAGTTTTAAAAAAATAATTTTATTGGGGGCTCATACAATTCTTATCACAATCCATATATACATCCATTGTGTCAAGCATATTTGTACATATGTTGCCATCATCATTCTCAAAACATTTGCCTTCTACTTGAGCCCTTATATCAGCTCTTCATTTTTCCCTCCCTCCCCTCTCCCTCTTCCCTCATGAACACTTCATAATTCATAAATTATTACTATTTTGTCATATCTTCCACTGTCCAATGTCTCCCCTTGCCCACTTCTCTGTTGTCCATCCCCCAGGGAGGAGGTTATACGTAGATTCTTGTAATCGGTTCCCACTTTCTACCCCACCTTCCCTCCACCCTCCAGGCATCACCATTCTCACCACTGGTCCTGAAGGAGTCATCTGTCCTGGATTCCCTGTGTTTCCAGTTGCTATTTCTACAAATCTACATCCTCTGGTCTAGCCAGATTTTTAAGATAGAATTGAGATCATGATATCAGGGTGGAGGAAGCATTTAAGAACCAGAGGAAAGTTATATGTTTCATTGTTGCTATCCTGCACCCTGATTGGCTCATCTTCTCTGCACAACCCTTCAGTAGAAGGGTGTCCAGTTGCCTACTGATGGGCTTTGAGTCTCCACTCTGCACTCACCCTCATTTACAATGATATGATTTTTTGTTTTTTGATGCCTGATCCCTGATCCCTTCCACACCTTGTGGTCACACAGGCTGGTGTGCTTCTTCCATGTGGACTTTGATGCTTCTGAGCTAGATGGCCGTTTGTTTATCTTCAAGCCTTTAAGACCCCAGACACTATATCTTTTGATAGCCAGGCACCATCAGCTTTCTTCACCACGATTTCTCATGCACACCTTCGTCTTCAATGATCATATTGACAAGGTGCGCACTCAATGATATGAGTTTCTGTGTGTATATCCATGTCCTCAACTCTGAAAAGAAGTGCCTATGATACATATAAGTGGGAAGTGTTCAAAAGACAGTGAATCAATATTTGTGATGATTTGTTTTCTGTTTTGCTTTGTTTTGTTTCTAGTTTTATTTGTTTCATTTTTTTTTGTTTTTTCAGTCTCTCAAAGAACAGTGATACAAGTATGCCGATTTGTTTCAATTAACGAATAAGCATGTGCAGGTTTGGGAAGTAGAAACTTATTGTTATGCTCATCTATTTTTCCTTCTTTGTCCTCTGTGAAAGACAGTATCTTGCTTTAAATGGGCAATTTAGTAAATGTATGTGAGAAAAAAGATGGGAAAACACAAAAAAAATATGAAGGAATGGGACAAAAGGTTTTCTGGGAAATTACAACTTCTCACAAAGACTATCTTGCTGTTATTCTCCTGAGAGCTCCTTTGACATCTTTGTTCCTCAGACTATAAATGATGGGGTTCAGCATGGGAGTCACTGCAGAGTAAAACACAGAGATCACTTTATCCCTTTCACTCATTTTCTTGGCGTTCGGTCTCATGTAGGCAAAGATTGCTGAGCCGTAGAAGAGCACAACAACAATGAGATGGGAGCCACAGGTTGAGAAAACCTTGAGCCTTCCCTCTCCAGACTGCATCCGGATCACAGTGGAGATGATATTCCAGTAGGAGACAAGGATGAGGGACACAGGAGCTAGGAGGATCCCCACACCCATGGCAAAGATG